CATTGGTAAACAAGTCTTATCAAATGATGAAGTGGTGGGTGGAGGCAATATGGTGGGTTCAGTAAATATTATATCTCAGCAAATAGAAAAGAAGGTTCTAATTTCATATTCTAACTGCCAGTATTAGAAATTTGAGTTTATAATTTGTATGAAACTATAGATGTTGTATTGTGGGCATCATAAGATATAATCTGACTAAACCCAGAAGGTGATGTACCAGCATGACACACACAAATTGATATTTAGCAATTTGTTTTTTATATATTTACTTTCAAATTAAGAAATTAACTAATATATGATATTAGAATTTGAATCAAAATCTACAATTTGATACCAAGTTTACTGACATACATTCATAAAATACTAGTTCAATAAAATTATGAATGTAAGTCTACAAATATAATGACATGCCTTCTGACCCCTAGCTACCTGTAATGATAGGGTTAAACCTATATATTTAGTCTATCATGACATGATCGTCCAATTCTTACTTTATCCAATAATATTCAAACTTTCTTTATAGCTCTTTTAAAAGCAGTATTTTGTTTGTAAATCATTTAACGAATTGGTGTGGAACCATAATAAGGTGACAGCCTAGGCCTGTTCAAAGACTATTGAAAATGCTTGAAAATCAAGAAGTGGATAATATATTCTCAATGAGTGATGGGTTCTTAGCAAAAATAATTTCTTGGGATGGGCAGAACAATTCTTTATCTAATTGCTGTAGACTCCAGCTATATTGATTTCAGAAAACCTGAAGAAATGTTTATGGTAGTTAATAGAACAATCAAATTAAAACATTGACATCTTATGTGTCTTATTGATAATATATGGCAGTGTAAGGACATCTGTCTGTTTTTATTTATTTCCAAAAAAATAAAATGATGGGGAGTCAAAACACCTGGATCTCCATTATACCCATGCCTGCTTATACAAGATTAAATAATACACTTAAGCATTATAAATTACAAACATAACATAATGTGAAAACAGTGAAATTGCATATTATTTAACCTATAAGTAGTCCAAGAGTTGGTGGTGGATGCTGCTAGCCAGTTGCCTTCCTTCTAGTTAGCAGTTCAAAATTAGTGACAGTGACAGATAGCCTTAGTAGCTTTGCCATGATAAATACAAGGCGAGCAAGTTTGGAGGCAATGGGAATCAAATCCAAGACCTACAAATCAAAAAGCATCTTTTCCCTCTAAATCACCAGACAACACTGACCCAAAGCTGAAAAAACTTTAAGTAAAGAAGAAACTTGTGATGCTAAAATCTGGTTTTGATATCCTTAGTAGGCTGGGCACAGATGTCTTCTAATGTAGTTTCATGCTTAATAAACAAACATAATGGCAATATTTTGATTACTTGGATAGCTGTAAAGATCAAAAACAGTAATAATTGGAAACAGTAATTTCAGTTAATTATTGTCATAACAGTCAATTTAATCATAATTTAAATTAGTATATTGTTGGAATAACTGGAAACATTAATTTTCAGTAGTTGATTATTTCTGTGAATCACACCATTAATTTTGATTAATTGATTAGTTTATTTGACACTAATTAACTCATTCAGCATGGGCTCGGTCCCTGGGACACACCTCATAACCATTTTGTGCTTGTTATAGTTTTCATGCTATAACTTTTAAATTAGCAAGCGAATGTTAACAAAATTTGACAGATCATCAGTAAACATTACAATGCTTTCATATGCCAAATATCAAATTTTTTTTATTAAGTCTTAAGGTTTGTAAAGTAATGTTTTTCACGTGCCTTTTTTTTTTCTTTTCACATGTTGCCTATCTATCATGCAAAGTAATATTTATTTTAAGATTAAAAATACTTTTATGAATCAGAAAAATTTCAAATTTCACGTGCAAAATATTTATAATGTCCAGATAGTTATCAAATATTTCTTAAGAAAAAAACTTATATTTTATTAGTTATTTTCAGTAATTAATCTCTGTATGGGTAAGATAGATTTGACCGATCCTGCAACCACCATAAAAATTAGGAAATAAATATGAATTATGCCGTTTTCATTCTAGAGTGAACATAAATTATAACACAAAAACATACATGTTTAGACTAAATAGCTTAAATCTCCTAAAATTATACATTTATATATATATATTTATTATGTTGACCTTTCAGCCATGCCTGGCTAACAATACAGAAGTTCAAAGGATGTGGCATGCGTGCACTCATGTTACTCTATCAAATAACATAAAACTGATCTTTAGTCTGTACAAAGCAACTTGTCTTGGCTATGTTTTAGTAGACTAGTATTTTGTAAAATACAGTCACATTTCAATTATTGT